CCGGCAGAGTCAGCTGTGAGCCAAGGTCACGATACGCTCGGCGCCCTGAGGTGTTTGTTGACATAACCTCTACGTTAACCTCAAGCCATGTGCTCCCTACGATTGCCCGGAAGGTGTGTACTACTGCTCAGGTGGGAGCTGGGTAAATCATTTAAATTGCCTGATTTTTAACGGTTGTACGAACCGCAGGGCCTTCAGTGACGGAGGCAACATGGACAAACATGGCCATGTTAGCCTGAACGCCGCCAAGGGCCCCCGGCCTTGCCTCGCCCTCCAGTGACTCCATGCCTCCAGCTGCAGCAGCTGCTCCAACAGGAATCACGACATGGCTGCCGTCGCCGTACCTGAGTCCTTCCGCCTTCAAGTCTGTCCCCCAACTCATCATTATGTGTCAAAGTGTGGAGAAGTTGAGCGGAGAGGTGAGTGTTCCCAGTGTGCACTAAAGTTGTGCTAGTTTTCGCTGTCAATCATAGGCCAGTCAACTTGTTTTGTTGATTTGTTTTCGTCAACTTATCAGAAATCAGATAGCACTTATTTGCAGTGTTTTCTGTGTTTGTGTTTCAACCGCTTTGTGACTGTCCTTGCGGAGTAATCAACCTCAGTAAGTCTAATGTTGGGGTTACGAGCCCCACAAGTCGTTCTATTTACAATGCTTTTCTGATAAATGACAACAATCAAATCTATAAATCAGAATGGTAGTTGGTATGCGAGTGGGAGAGAGAGGTAATGCCAATTCAGTGATAAATAAAGTGTTCAACTTGCGTGCCCTCATGCAAGTGCTCATCACTATGTTGCGCACTTTTTTGTGTTTGACGGGATATTTGAAAACTTTGAAGCGGTCTACTGTAAATTTGAACACTTTAATCTGTCCAAAGCTTCATAGCCAACCCTGATGTTGAACACTTTACTCTTGAAAGTGTACAACATGGTGTTCAGCACGTGCATGTACTCGCCAAATGGACACTTTGTTTATTAGTAAAATACGATAATAAAAGATAATATATAAGATAATTATGATGGGGATACCCTTAAAGTAAAATTAAAAATATACTTTTGCTTGGTGTTGCCTGGTGCCCTTTTAAAATGAACTTCTCTGACTGGTCCTTCCTAGTAGAGTAACAAATTTTGTCCTGTGAGAACTCCAACAGCCACATTAACGTTTTGACTCTCCAGGAGGCAACTTATCGAATTTTTGAACCACCATGTCAGCGTTTGCCTGAAAAAGGACTTAACAAAAATTAAGACCGTAAGAAATAATTGATTTTTTTGATGATTTTCGCAGGTCTCTAAATACCTTATGAAGTCTCGGGCTCAGAAGTACCATGGGCAACGCGGAACATTAGTGACTACCTGCAAACCGCCCCTCTCTAACTCACAGCCAGCCAGTGAAGTCTCAGAAGTTCCCTGCCGATATTGCGATCAGTCGCATCTACAGAGGTGAGTGACAGCAACATATCCTTCCCCCTAAATCATAACTCGTGTTCGATGCTCTTCTTTGTCCTCCCTGCCAACTTCGGGGCCCGTGTCACGTCCTGCGCACTCTGCACTCGTCTTGGGTGATGCGAGCCACCGGCCCTGCCCTGCGCCCTTGGGCGGGCGCGCCGAGCACCCTCCCTCCTGGGAGGTAGGCAGCGGTGCGCTGCGCTGGCCGGCGGGTCCTTCTCTTTTGTCCCAGCTCCGCCCTACCTGCCTGACCCAGCGCCGCCCGCGGTGTGAAGTGAACCGCCGTCTACTCCCGATCTCCACTGAAAGCAAAACTAAAAAGTTTGCGCTGGACGTCGGTGTGTTGATTCAGGGTATATGTACTTGAAAAATCAAGGATTAATTTTTAAGTACTTGGCCCAAGAACTCTTTTTTTAGGGGGGGGGGTAGTTTTAGTTGTTGCTAGTTGCAACAATAACTTGTAACTTTTCTTGCCACTCTGCTCCGTTTCCGACTGCCCAGCTCTTGTGCCACCCCGGCTCCACCTCAAGCCACCACCCGCCTGTCTGTCGTTGCGCGGCAGGATAGACTCTTGCTTGGTGAGTCCACTTGACTGTCAGGAGACGACCTGCCGCCGTGCGGGTGGGGGGCCCGTCCTCGGCGCCGCG